ATGAATGTATTCTCTTTGAAGTTGTCATATCTGTCTTTTATTTGCCCTGGAGATGAATACTTTTGAGATTTGTACCGACTCCCCAGTACATTTAATGTGAATGGAAGTTAGATTTTGACACTCCCAGCATTTCAACGATTTGAAAATGTATGTCCTTGATTACCAGAAATCACCAGGTAAGAAAACACCAGCTAATGGTTGTAAGGAGTTACTTCCATATTTTGCTCTTTTCTATCTTACATACTCCTACGTAGTTTTACCGAAACATTTTCACCACATATTTAACCACAGCGACAAGAGATTAGAGCCTGAGATTACCACTAATATTACTGTTGATCGCAAGATATTAACAGCTCATTTCCTTGCTAAATACTTTTTCATATATTTGTTCCAAGCTATTATTCCTGAAGAGCATAGGTGTCAAACTTAGCCAAATCTGGCCCGCAGTGTAATTATATTTGGCCCCGAGATAATATCAAATGTCTGTTGGAGCTGGTCCGCCGGCATATAGTGCATGCACAGCTAATACTACACATGCCAGACTGCTCTGCTCGTGCGTTGGCACCCCAATGAAGACCTGCAAGCGTCCCCTCCCACATCTGTTGACGTTCATGAGCAAAATTAGGAAAATTTAGGAAAATTTAAGCCGCCCCTCATAAAAAATGGCCAAACAAAAGATGGAAAACAGGAGGTTTCAAGACAGGTGGGAGGCAGGTTATCTGTTCGCGAATTTGCAAACTTTTCCGTTTTTCTCTTTATCATTAAATGCATCTTTTTTATTTTTTATTTTGGGTGTTTTGTTGTTGGCCTGTGAGAAAAGGTTTCTGTTGAAAATGAACTCAAAAGGTTACAGATAGAGAGGCATAAACATGTTACTATTTTATTTATTTAAACCAAAATATGGAACAAATGCCACTGATTTATCTTTTATTTGAAATTTGATTTCTCATGTGTTTATAATATAAAGCTTTGCTTGTTCCAGATTAAATGTTAAAGCAAACTTCAAGTTAGTTTCCATAAAGAGCTTATCAATATATATCTGGAGGGAAAAGAAAACATGCGCAAGTGTAGTCAAGTTTTTAAAAAATAAATATTGAGTCTGGGCCGCGACTTAGTCCCAGTTTTTTATTTTGGCCCACTGTGTATTTGAGTTTGACACCCATGCTGTAGAGAATGTGATGTCATGCCATGTCCTAAGTAGGGCCGCAACTAATGATTAGTTCCATTGTTGCTTAATCTGTCGATTATTTTCTAAATTAATTAATTAGTTGGTTGATCTATAAGATATCAGAAAATGTGCCGATTAGATTTCACCAAAACTCACATGTCTAGTTTTGTCCACGACCCAAACATATGAAGTTTGCAGTCTCAGAGAAGGAAAGAAACCAAAAAACATTTTGATTTACGAAGCTGCAATTAGAGAATTTTTATTTTATAGATTATGAAACTAGTGGATGATTAATTTAAAAGTTGGCAACTAATCAATTAATTGTTGCCTCTCTAGTTGGAAGGACGGCGCTCTGTTCCATTTTTTGGAGTGCGTACACTTAATGTGAGTTTAAAGTTACAAATCCTGTGTAGCACACTTACGCCGAATGTTTTTAAAAGTTTGGTGTTTAGTTTGGTTCCATAATTGGGCCAAAAAGAGGAGCGCCGCCTTGCGAGTGTGACTGTGCTCTTGCGTTTTATTGACTTGTGAATTGGCAGATAGTGCAGTGATCTGCCAATTCACTGCAGAATTTTAGAAAAGACTTTCTCAAGCTTCTAGCGATTTCTACATTTTAAAAGATTTATTTATTTTGGGACTGAAAGAAGTTTATAAAGTTTGGCTGTGTGAGTGGAGGCAGTTTGTCAGGGTCTATAATCCAGTCTTAAGCTGCCAAATCATACAGATTAATGTGGTTTATTGTGATAGTTTGTTCAAATGCTGTTAGCTTGGCTTTGTGGTTCCTGCCAGGAGGATCCATTTTTTCCCCCCTCTTTTCCTTCTCCATCCAATTTGACCATTTTAACTTCCATTTTAGCCAAAGAAAACGAAAAGTAAACAAGTAACCACTGTAGCACGCACAATTATTTGAATGTGTCCTTCACAAGATGGCATCCCATTCATTACGTGGCTACTGTCACATTCTCTACATTACTTTGTTGTTAAACTGATTATTCCGATTGCTAAATGAGGTTTCTTCAGTGCTATGAATGTGTAGAAGGGATGTCTTGAAGTCTGTTTGGCCAATATGTGCAGAGGTGTGCTTGGCAACACGGATATAAATCCTTTTTAGTCATGCAGAGTTTTGCAACATCCATAAGAAGCGGAATTTGTCATGATTCATGCTGTTTAGGCATCGCTTCTGCGTCAAAGAGAGACCTTCACTATCTGCTTCCTCCAGCAACAGCGGTCTAGTCATCAAAGAGGCAGAAAGTGGTCTGTCAGTAATTACAGGGCAGTCTCTGGACCAGTGATTTTTAACACTGTGTTCAACAGCGAGGACGGATTTACATTCATCACTTAGTTAACATTTAAAACGTTTCTATTCAAGCCTCCTGCAGGTTTTTCTGTTCTCAGTTGACCGTTTCTGATCCACAGAGTCATAGTTTCAATATGTTCAAATGTTAGAACGGTGCTATGTTGACATTGTCGATCAACTGTGTACGGCTTTCACCTTGAGGTTTGTTTATTTATTTATTTGCTCTTCGTCCTCGGTTAAATTCTGCAGTTGCCACTACAACGCTTGTCACTCATTTTGATGAGCTGTCTACTTTGAAATGTCATGCAGACCTGGGGTGGAAGTCAAAAGACTGCCACAGGTATTAAAGAAACAGAAGTGGAATGTGGACGTTTCTCAAACTTCAATATTTTTGTTTATTAGATCATCAGTTATGCACAGATTTCTGTTATCTGTCTGCAGCCTGTTGGTCAAAATGCCCAACCTCAAAAATGACTATCAATTATGTCATCAACTAATCTGTAGTTGCAGCACAAATTTCTTTCATCATAAAATATGGTCCTCCAGGCTAATGGGGATCCAGACGGAAACACGCAAGGTTACGGACAGGTGCAGACTGATGATTCAGCTCTTTGATGGCTGTCGAGCTAACTCTGTCTTTGTTGGCGTGTTTCGGCAGGGTGACAAGGTGAACTATGAGCGCTTCAGGACCTGGCTGCTGCAGAACAAGGAGGCCTTCACTCTGTCCAGATGGCTTCTATCTGGAGGAGTGTGTGTCACGCTGACAGATGACAGCGACACGCCGACCTTCTACCAGACCCTGGCTGGTGTCACACACTGTAAGTCCCCCAACAAACCCGCTCTGACTCAGTGTGTTTGCATATATTGCACGTCCACATATTCACACGTTCACATAAATCCCCCTATGAGCATAATGTCGGTGCTTATTCATTATGTTGTGTAATTTGTTTATCGTGTACTACAATTTCCTTAACAATAACCAGTCTTTAAATAATAATCTTTAAATAATGCCTCAGCGCTGATAGATCTGTATCATATCTGTGCTTTAATGGCTCATGTGTATTTCTTCTGCACTAATTCCATCCATGCAGTGGAGTCATGTTAGCGTCGCCATTCGCTAATTAATTTGGCTCGCTTCTGCATAGCGGGTTTTTCATCAGTGTTTAGCTCCAGTCAACAAAATTTAAAAATGTATACAGATGTTCCATATTACAGCCGAATAGAAACGGTTTGAGTGAGACAAGTGGAGGAAAAGTTGGATTTTACAAAAAGTAGCTTTGCAATGGTAGAAAAACTGCATAATAGAAACCGACTGTAGTTAGCTGATTAATTATTTTTACATAAAAATAATCAATCTATGAAGAAAATGGAGACGGTGGCCTTTTCTTTTCGACACTTTTTCTTTTCTTTTCCTTTTTTTACGTAAACAAAATCTATTTCACAACGATGAAGCAACCAAACTCCATGCAAAAAAAGAAGAAATAATAATAAAAATAAAATAATATAAACAATAAAACAAAATTACAAAATCATAAAAATAATAAGTGGTCGTGGGGGGCACCATTTATGCCACCGTTGCTCCGGGGTCCCTGCTGCCATTGTAAGATAATACGTCCGTTTTTCCATCGAGTAAATCTCCTGAACAATATCTGGCCACTGTCCTGGGCTTGGAGGATCACTTTTTAGCCATTTTCGTGTTATGGCCTTTTTACATGCTGAGGTCAATATTTTGAAAAGATGCACGTCCTTCTTTTGAATGGTTCTGCCTGGAATCAAACCCAGGTACATAATCCAGGCATCCCTGGGTATCCTGTAGGAAAAGATTTCTTCTAGAATCTCAACAACTCTGTTCGAGAACTCCTGCGATGGTGGCCTTTTTTAACTGCTGAAGTGGCTTTTGTATATATATATTTAAAAATAAATAAATAAACACTGAAAAACAACTATTCATAACAACCGCAAATGTGCAGTCTGAAAAAAATAAATGTTAAGACTGCAAGTTAACTCAAAGAGTTTGCATTAAAAGCCACCAGCATTAACAGCAAATCAAGAATAGAACGGATCAAACCAATAAAAACTGTTTTTTTTTTTAGTGTGAGCTTGTTGCAAATGAAATCCCATTTCTGTCTGATTTACACAAGCTCATGTTCTGATTCGACTCACTTCTAGTCAAACATTATTTCAATCTGCAGTCAACAAAACTCAACAACTTAAGCAGACGTTTTATTTTACAACCTACCAGAAAAGTATTGAGTCACCTGAAGGCATTCAGTGTAAAACAAATGCAAGAAAAGTTGTGTTTCATTCAAAGAAAGTGGCAAAGTAGGACTGACTGTAGTTAATTTGTGAATTATTTAGACATTTATTTTGAGAGATTTGGTCACTCGCAACATTTTTGGTCCTGAATTCTGTGCAGTGACTGGAAGACAAAATGTAGTTTCAGGGATCTGCAGATTAGCTGCAGATCAAGCGTGTGCTTCGTTCTGCCATATCTCTGTGATGTGAAGCAGATAGTCCCCCGGTTACATCTTCCTCCTCCTTCTGGCTCCATTGAAGAGTGCAAATGTCTCAGAATATACCAGAGATGGCTCACAACAGTTGTTAATGCTCGGATGAAGTCATTGAATTTTTTTCTTTATTTATATATTTTTTTTACACCCACTGTTTTTAACCCCCTCAGTGGTTTTTTTTCATTATTCCGTTTTACCTTCAGTACGCCAGAATTCTCTCCTCTGTACCTATTTGGTCTTTGTCGCACTGAGCCCTGCAGCATGCTGACTGCACTAGTGAATGTGACTGTTGATGCTGTAAAATCCATATTTCTTCTTATTTGAAATACTGACAGCCCCCTCTGCCATGGCTGACATTGTGTATCTGAAGTATTTCAGTGGACTGTGTTATTTATGCCTAATATTGACGTTAAACTTGTGAAATGGAAGGACTGGACGCTCTGCAAGTGTTCAGCAAGTTAATTGACCTTGAGATCAGTTGTTTATTTTAAGGTTGTTTCTTTGACCTCATAAAATCAATTTAAGGGATTTTCTTCAGTTTCAGCTCTATCTATCGACCTCTTTGTTAGGAGAAATACTGAATCTGATGTCGGTACCAGTGAGCGAGTTGGCAGAGCTGTCTTTTGTAAACACATAAACGACTGTCGACTTGGGTTTTATAATTCCAAACAGGGCAGAAAATGACCATGAAATTACTGCAGTGGGGAAACTGTTGGAGATAATGATGTAAATATTACACCTGTGGACCCAGGGTGCGGCTGTTAGACTGTTTCCACAACCTGTTTAAAGCTGATCTGTCCTTTCATGGAGTTCATTAGTGCTCCACTGAACAGTATACTGATACTGAAAAAGTACTGTAGTACAATTAGGATTTGTAGATCATCCACACCTTTTTTTTCTGCAGTATGTCACAGACCTTCTTATGTGCCTCATCATAGTCATAGTCTGTCCATCCTTCTATTCACTATCACTGCCTTATCCCATAAAGGGTCACAGGGGGCCGGAATCTATCCCAGCTGACACTGGATGATGGCAGGGTTCACCCTGGACAGGTCGCCAGTGCACCCAGGGCCACACAAAGAGAGAGACAAACATTCATGCCCACACTCACACCTACAGACAATTTAGAATCACCAATTAACCTCAGCATGTCTTTTGGACTGTGGGAGGAAGTCGGACCACCTGCGAAACGCCCACGCAGGCACAGGGAGAACGTCTCAGCTGAACAGCAGCTTTAAAGCCGGAGGCAACAACGCAACCACTGCTGCACTGTGTCACCTAGTTACAGTCCAGTAAAGGCAAAATGCTCAGACATAGTGCACATGGCACTACATTATCTTTTCTGAAATCTGTACAGCTCCCGCTGCCTGCCAGTTGATTGAAGTTCCTTTCCTGTGAAATGAACAGTGTGTATTTATTGTGATGTACTGAAAAATGTTCAAAAATGAATAGCTCACCAAAAAGTAATTGTTATCATACAAATGCTAACCTTTACAGTAAAATAAGTAGGTCAGTAACTAGTAGTGAGTAGCCTGTTTGTTCTGATACTAACTGAAACGTGTTCATGTCAAGTGCTCAGTGTTGGAACTGAACATCTGTGCAAATCTGTAATCTTTCCAATTGACAGGTTTTCTAGTATCTTGATAGTTCTTGTACTGCTGCTTGTAGTTAAGCATTTACCATTTTAGACTTTTGTTAAACTAATAAACTTAGGGGTCAACCTGTATGTTTTTTTTAAGGGCCAGTGCCAATTATTATTGATAAGGAGGCCAATAACCCATACGAGGAACTGCTATACATTTGCAATTAAAATAAAAATTATTGTGTCAAAAATGTTAATATACACAGACACGAACCCAACAATACTACAATAATTTAAAAAAATAAGGGCACAGATATTCAGAAAAATGCTCAATAATGAATCCAAATATAGGCCAGTCTGATAATGAGTCAAACTTTCAAAAAATCTGTGTGTATATATACACTGAAAGATGTTGAGAAAGTAGTTGAGGGTAAATTAGTCCATCGGTACTAGTACAGATCTTATTTAGCAAATGAGCTTTCTAACATCCATCAGCTGACTCATTCAGCACAACAGGTCGACAACTTAGCCTTCAGTGTCGCACCAGTCCCTGACCTCACATCACCGTACATCGATGAGTTGCACACAGGTTGCAAATGCAGCATAAGAACACACAGTTCATCAGATCATTCGTAAGTTTCAGGCAGATTTCCTGAGCTGATCTGTCTGAATTTGTATTGAGAAAGCAATGTTTAGTCTTCGTACATACAAAAGGCCAGGTGTAGTGATGGTAAAAGTAAAAAAAATATTTCAAACAATGGCTAGCCCCAGCAATGGCACATAAACCATCTGTCTCCAGGATTTTTTTTCACTGTTTTAGTTCATTTGGTAACTGTCTCTTGCACAGTTTTCCTCTGTTTGCGTAGCTTTGGTGTTTCCAGCATTTTTTTCATTTAGAAATTCTTAGATTTTTCAGTCCCACACATATTTGAAAGACAGTACATGGAAAATAAAAAAAAAAAAAAACATATAGTGAATTTGTTTTTTAAAAAAAATTTTTTTTAAAGTTGCCGGCCAAGTAAATTTAGCCGAGCTTTATTTTGCCAATTAAGGTCAGAGTGCTGGAAAGAACCTGACTTGTTCAAAGAACCTGGACGTTGCCTTTAATCTCCCTGCTCCCAGCTTATCCTCTTAACTTTGTGTCTCTTTATGTATGTGTGTGTGTGTGTGTGCTGGAGAGAGAGAGAGTGACTGACATGGTTGTGCTTCATGACTCCTTCCAGAACAAGAATGTAAAGCTTGACTCATGGCGGAGCTTAACGCAATGAATCCTCCGCTAACTTGCTAGCGTGTGACACTGTCACAATATTATCAAAGTGGAAATCCTTGGGAATATCTGCCTTCTGGACAGGATGACGTAGCTTTTGTGAGCAGTTGTTGTGGGGAGTTTACTATGCTACATGCTGGCTGTGGCAACACCTCTCTAAGGATGTTCCCTGGATAATGGTATGGTATCTCTGCTGCAACTCTGGGAGAGTCGCACCTCTAGGTGGGTACCAGACCTACTGAAGCAGTAAACTGATAGAATAAATTGTGGCTAGTTCTTAAATGTCAGATGCAAGTGTTGGTCATAGTCCCTTCTGGTCTAGTCTTGACTGCTAACATTAGAAAGATTTAGAGATTCTCGTGGTTTAGTCGTAGCAACTGGACTCGCTTGAGTTTCTTGAAGACGTTTCACCTCTCATCCAAGAGGGCGTCAGAACTGATGAAGCCTCTTGGATGAGAG